CAAATGAAAATTACAAATTCTAAGGAGCAAAATAAAAAACATAAATAAAATGTGACAGGGACAAGGGGCATGCCAGTGCACTTACACCCACCCACCCCTCTTAGGAATCTCTTAAATATGAGTGGAGATCCACAGAAGTTAAGTTAGGCTTAAAACTGTGAAAGTTAGTACCTGAAGCTACTGAATCGGGGAAGATATTCCAGATTTTGACAACTCTGTTCGAAAAATTGATATATTTTTTTTACAATCAAGTTTAAAGTGGTTTACATTAAGTTTTCAACTTATGGATGAGAAACAAGGAGAAGGTGTATAGTTCTTGGAATGTCTTCCAAATGTATAAGAGCAGCTTGGCAATAGACCAGGGTGCTTAAGTTAGTAAAAGATATCTTCCCTGGCACTAAAAAATCCACAGAAATGACAGGAAGAGTTGGCTGTCCTCTATCGCTACATGAATAAAGATATTTCTATCTTTGTCTCAGCCATAACAGCATATAATTAGGAGACCCAAAATCTGGCTTGGCTTGAAATATGTAGTTAGGGGACAAAGATTTTGCTGACAAATGCCAATAAAATAGGGTGGAAACTTGCCTTTGATACCAAACATTTGTTTGCAAGCTGCAAAAAAAAAAATTGTGGGAAAAGTTCTTGTTTGTAAATAAAGATGGCATTTCAGCTTATTTTCCTAGCAATTACCTTGACTTATGACCACAATTGAGGCCAACATTTCTGTTGCTAAGTGAAACAGTTGTTAAATGAATTTTGCCCCATTTTACGACCTTTCAGAAGGGGATCACATGTGTCTGGGACACTGCAAACGTCATAAATATGAGTTGCCAAGCATATGAATTTTGATCACATGATCATGGAAATGTTGCAACATGAGAAACAGTCATGTCACTTTTTTTCAGTCTCATTGAAACTCCGAAAGGTCACAAACTGAACTGTTGTAAGTTGAGGACTACCTGTATATACCTGACCCAGCAAACCGTTTAGATAAAGCAGCTGAAAACTTTGGAAGGAAGGACATTTGCAATTGAAAAAAAAAAATCATGTTGAATGGATTCCTTCATGCCAATACGAGTCAGCCTAACTTAAATGCAGTGATATTTTCAAAGCTGGAATCACGGCATTAATCATAAACAGATTGTTTTCCCTCACTTTGTCTTGCTCTTTTAGAAGAAATTAAATGGTGAATAATTCATGACTTTCCAGCTAATGAAATTTAAGAACTTCTTGTTTATCCCAGTGGTCAAATTATGGGGGGAAGAGTCGGGTGGGATTATAACTTTTGATACTCTCTTCCAAATATAAAAATAGTTGAGGGCGGGGCATTGCAGAAAATAGCAGAATTGTCTCCCTGGACTAATTTAAGTAGGACTCACTTTTGGGAACTAAAAATGATGGTTTCAATTATTCAGTGGTGGGTTTCAAATCTTTTTAGAACCTCTTCTGTAGGTGTGGCCTGCTTTGTGGGAGTGGCTTGCCGGCCATGTGACCGGGTGGGAGTGGCTTGCCCGCCATGTTGCCGGGTGGGAATGGCCAACTTGTAAAATGTGGTGAAACTCACTTAACAACGCTCTTGCTTAGCAACCAAAATGTTGGCTCAGGAATTCTGGCATTGAGGTGTGCAAGTCTTAAAGCTGTCAAGTTACAAGACCCTTGCACCCCTAACCCTTTAGGAAAAAAACCCCAGCAGCGTTCAAACTTGACAGCTTTAAGACTTGTGGACTTCAACTCCCAGAATTCCTCCTCTCGCTCTTCATCTTGATGATGTGAGGACGGGCAGGGGGAGGGAGCTGGAACCGGTTCTAAACGCCATGGTAGATTTGTGGAACCTCTTCTATAGAAGAGATTAGAACTGGCAGGAACCACCCCTGCAATTATTTCACTTCTACCTCACTTCATTTCCACCCTTAGGTTCACCCTATTCGGTAAAGTGCTGGCAGCAATATTTCAATCTTGCTAAGCAAATATTTAATTCCTTTCTGAAATGAGATATTCCTGTTAAAAATGGTTAAAAAAAAGGCAAAGTTAGGTAAGAGTTACCTAACTAAAACACACTTTCAAGATATTGCTAACTTGGAAAGTATCCAAAGAAGGGTGAGATTTTGAATAGGTGAGACATCTAAAAGGAAAGAAGGATCTGTAAGGAATGGCTGGCAGAACCAGGTTGTTTTCCTGAAGATCAAATGATTTTAATTTGGGGCTGCCACAAAGAAGAGGGAGTAAAGCTATTCTCCAAAGCACCTGAAGGCAGCAATGGGTGGAAACTAATCAAGGAGAGAAACAACTTAGAACTAAGGAGAAATTTCCTGACAGTCAGAACAATTAATCAGTGGAATGGCTTGCCTCCAGAGGTTGTGGGTGCTTCACAATTTTTAAAAAGAGATTGGACAACCATTTGTCTGGGGGTTGGACTAGAAGACCTTCAAAGTCCCTTCCAATTCTATTATTCTGATAAAATGAAAGAGGTGTCTTCAAATGTCATAATTCCACAGTAATTCCAATTTGATAGGTTGTTTCATTGAACCCAGAGATAGAAATTATAGGATTTTTTTTTTCAAATAATCATTGAACAGTTCCCCCCTCCCACCTCCGCCTCACAATCAGGAGACTGTGAGTTCGATCCTAGATAGAGGCAGATATTTCTCTCTCTGAGCACAATGAGAATATATCTGCTGAAACAATCTCCACATTGGTGACAGGAAGGGCATCCAGCCAGTAAACGCTCAGCTCTATTCAGTTTCCCAAGACTTCACCCTGCAAGGGATTACGGGGTTTTTAAAAATGATGATGATTGGATTTTTTTTTTTTTTACCAATAAGGTTTGTTTGCTACTGTAACAAATTCCTTGGGATGTCCTATATGTTGTTGTTCTGACCTAGGCTTCCTTAGAAAGCAAGAAGCAAAGTCCTGGTGCCTGCAAAACCTCTTTTATTTATACGACTGTGAATTCCTTTCATTCACAGTCAGCAAAGCTTTAACAAACAGTCTTTCCAAGGAATGTTTATCCACACGCACCTTATCTCATTTGGAGTGCTGCCAGATAACTACCGTAGTTTCCAAATGCAGGACAAGGTAACACTTGGCACAGAGTCTCTTAAAGTCACACAGGGAACATTCCACTCTTGAATCGACCGAATGAACAAATTATTTCCTGCAAAAGCCCACTCCCCATTTGCTCCTTTTTTGTTTCCTATGGGAGGGGCCAATCACCTTCAAGGCGTGGCTTTACTCTTAAATTCACCCTGCTTTCTTAGTTGTTCTTGTCTTCTGGCAGCTCTGCACATGCACACACTGGGAACAGGCCCCAGCTGTTCTTCTGTCTCACTGCTGTCTAAGTCCCTCTCTGCCTCCGATGCAGAGCCCTCGTCTGAGCTTACCTCAGTCCCCAGGACTGGCCCATGCCCCTCCCTAACCTCCTCACTGTCTGACTTTGCTGCCAGCTCTGCTGGCAGGCCACAACAGTTGTTTCCTGAAAGCGCTGAAGCAAAAACTAGACAGACCTTCATCAAAAGGCATATTCTGTACATGGGAATGTTGTCTGGAGTAAAAGGCTTTCAAGGCTTTCACCAAGACTATCATGCTAGGACTCTCGAGATGAGACTAAAAATCAAGATTTCAAAATATGCAGATGTACCGGTTTTCTACTGATTTCCATAACTCATGGAAACAAGACTTCAACATAAATCATAATTTAGCACCATCTATTTATAAACACTTGCTCCTGGGGAGGAAAGCTATGGCAAATCTAGACAGCATACTAAAAAGCAGAGACATCACCCTGCCAACAAAAGGCTATGGTTTTCTCAGTTGCAATGGATGGCTGTGAAGGCTGGATCATAAGAAAGACTGAGCACCAAAGAATTGGCCTTTGAACTCTGGTGCTGGAGAAGACTCCTGTGAGTCCCTTGGACTGCAAGGAGATCCAACCGGTCAGTCCTAGAGGAGATCAACCCTGACT